AACAGCACTATTTACAATAGCCGAGACATGGAAACAGCCTAAATGTCCATCAGCGGATGACTGGATAAAGAAGAGGTGGTATATTTATATGATGGAATACTATTCAGCCACAAAAACCGACAACATAATGCCATTTGCAGCAACATGGATGTTCCTGGAGAATGTCATTCTAAGTGAAGTAAGCCAGAAAGAGAAAGAAAAATATCATATGAGATCGCTTATATGAGGAATCTAAAAAACAAAACAAAACAAAACATAAATACAAAACAAAAACAGACTCATAGACATAGAATACAAAACTTGTGGTTGTCAAGGGGCAGGAGGTGGGAAGGGACAGACTGGGATTTTAAAATACAGAATAGATAAACAAGATTATACTGTATAGCACAGGGAAATAGATACAAGATCTTGTGGTAGCTCATAGCGAAAAAAATGTCACAATGAATATATATATGTTCATGTATAACTGAAAGATTGTACTCTACACTAGAATTTGACACAAAATTGTAAAATGACTATTACTCAATAAAAAATGTAAAAAAAAAAAAAATATATATATATATATATATAGTCCTGGACATAAAAGCAGCTCAGTGGATGAGGGAAATAGCCGATTAGATTCAGCTGAAAAGAGAATTGTTGGACTGGAAGAGAAGTCTGAGGAAGTAACTCAGATTCTAGCCCAGAGTCATAAGGAGACAGTAAACGTAAAAACAGGAGGCATGAACGTCAGAACAAGACAGTCCAACAAATGAATGGCCCAGGGTGCTGTTGAACTCGGGGCCAGAGAAAGCAGCCAACAGACAGCGCTGACAGATAGTGGCCGTAATTTCCCAGAATCGATGAAAAACGTAAATCCTCAGATTTTGGAAGGAAAAACACATAGGATAAATAAAAATTATTCCACACCGAGGCAGGTAAAACTGCATAAAAAACAAAAACAAAATGCAAAAATACCTAAACATGAAACTAGAGAGAAAAGGATGTCAGACTGCTGTCTGAACAGGCTAATCTCACAGGAGAATTTAAATCAACACCAATGAGGCCAGAAGGAAATGGGATAATTCTATCAAAATACTTCAGGGAAAATTACTACACATCTAGAAATCCAGGTCCACTTGAATTCAGTTTTGAGACTGAAATAAAGACATGTTTATACAAACAAAACGTCAAAAGGGTTTCCTACTCACAGACTCCTGCTGCAAGAAACACTGAAGGATGCACATGGGAGGGAAGCAGAGGTTAAGTGGCAGGCAGGTTCCTCTAAAGAAGTTTTGTTATTAAAAACACCAACGAAGACTACCTCTAGGATTTTTAAGATGTGAAACTAAAATACTAAGTATTTCATGTTTTAAAATACTAAATATGTACTAAGTACGTCACTACTGAAACTGTGGGCAGAGGCTCGAATCAAAGCATTCTGAAGTCCTTGCTGGTCTAGGGGAGGGGAAGATATTGAGAACACGCACAAGATGTCCAGGGCAACAGCTAGAAAAACAGAAATAAAAGGTTTAAGTTCAAAAATCAACGCAGCAGGGTGGGGAAAAGGAAACTCAATCCCATGGAAAGCAAAACAGGGTTGGGTGGGAGGAGCCAAGAAAACGCGGGGCGCAGACCTTGCATGCGAGCTGAGGCCGACGGGAAGTCAGCTGGCCTCGACCCATTTTCCTTGGCTTTGCGTAGGACTTAATTTATTAGCCCAGGAAATGAAATGCCAGGCCACACATCTTCATGAGGCTCACATCTAACCTCTGGCTATTTTGGGATGACGAAGGAGGAGAATCAACTTTAAAAGGTTTGGAAGAAGAGCCACTGGAACAAGGCTGCAGACATGGTGCGGGCACTCTACATTTTCCCCAGGAAGCCCTGCCTGAGGAAACCAGGGGTAAACCAGGAGTCTGTGGCAAGCCAACCCGTCGAAGAAAAGTTAATTCATCCCGGGGGGACTGGCATGTGCAGCTGAAACACAAGTCTAACAAAGGCAGTTGTGCTAACAAGATGGTCAATCATCCTGCAACTTACACGCTGAAATGCCCAGGGGCACCCCTACTTTATCGACCAATTATCCAGCCAAACCTAAAGCTCCAAACAGCTCTCATATGCTTCCTGGGCTGACCTCGGTTACTCCTCCTCCTGCAGCCCCGTCTTGTATACAGAAGGAAGCAATTAGCTGCAAGTCCTTCCAGAAGCAGGGGTGCAGACACCGGGACTGCACCAGGAAGAGTACAGGGGAAGTTTACAAAAGGGTGGGTTCTGATCACATCACAGGGCACCTAGCTGTGTGACCTAGCTGGCATTTGAGGAGATCCATTCACTCCTTATAGCCACATAAGGCCACCTCCCAGCTGAAGCGCACAGAGGGCTGTAGGTGTGTAAAATCATCCAGTCAATGAATGTTCTCCGAACACACGCTCTCCCAGGTGCTGGGCACTGGGACAACATAAAGGAGCACAAGGCAGACCATTTCTGCCCTTCACAAACCAAATCTAAACCAAAGCAGAACAGCTTTGCATTCAAGTGCGGGGCGTGATAACAGATTTGCCTTCTTTCCACTTGATTTTATAGGTTAGTAGGCATGCTCTGAGCTCCCAGACGCTGGGCAGTGTAGGGACGGTTGGGGTACTGTGGGGTCAAGGGGGATTAAGACATGGGATTTGAAAGTGATTCAGTTCACAAGAGTGGAGATCCATTAGCAATGGATGGCAAAATGAAGCCTGACTTGCCAGACCTGCCCTTGCCATAAAACGTTAAAGGAAACATCTTTGTCTCCATCGCTGGAGGCATTTAAGGTAGAACCGAATGACAATTTCTAGAGGAGGTGGCAGAGAAAATTTACTGTCAGGTAGTGGAATTTGTTTTCCTTCCTCCACAACTTCCCCAACTCCTTGCTCTCCCCAAGTCCACCATAATGTACATGGCCCCCGTTAGTTCATTCATTCATTCATTCATTCATAAAAAAGAGTGTAACAAACATGAATGAACCTATCACTCAAAAGAATTAGAACATTATGCCTGTCTTACACCATCCAGCCTTCCTCTGGTATTCTCATGCTGTTTCCCACTTTATTTTCAATGAAATCTCACCCAAAATAGATACAAGCACATTTCAAATTTTCACAGTTTAGGAGACCCCCTGATGTCCCATTCCAGAACATGAGCTAGTTCACTGCTACTCAACACACGGTCCCTAGACTAGAAGCCAGTCTGTAAACTGTTACTTGTCTAGGGAAATAAGAGGCTTGAGCCAAAATGCAAATCAATTCTATCACTCAGGACACTGTTCGGTTAACATTTTTTCATAGCAAAACTTTCTCGATGAAGGAAGCAGACAGTTGGTTAACATTTTGACACAAGCTTGCCATAGAGCAGCTCTCTGAGAAGCAGCGAACTCGTTGGTGTCACACGTCTGTTTCTTAGCGCCTAGACTCTGCGATCACGGAGGGCCGTGATGCTGCCCAGCACGTAAACGGGTACGTGTTGCTCAGAGAGTCCGGGAAATACTGACCAGTACAGTTGGCTTCGTCAGACCAGTCCCTGCAGTCGTTGTCCCCGTCACACACCCAGGAGGAGCGGATGCACATGCCAGAGCTGCAACTGTATTCATCGCTCCGGCACTGGTGCATTTCTGCAGGTGAGACCACAGACAAAGATGTGAGGACAAAATTCTGTCTTTGATGACAAACCTCCTAAAGGTTAGAGATGCACCCAATATCCCCACTACTGCTGATTATCCAGGATGCATGCATGGAGAGGGATACAGAGGGCCAACTATGGGGCCTGAGCATCCTCAGATTTTGGTAACCATGGCAGGTCCTGGGCCAGACCCCCTGTGGTTACTGAGGGATGACCACAGTGCTGTGAACGGAGTACAAGTGTGCCGAGATACTGACATCTCACACTCTGGCCACACTCTTGTCTTGTTCATTTATCTTGGTGCACTTCACAAATACCATTGTCCATGCTTCTCACAATGGAAAGAAGGCTGGGAAGCAATTTTCTGGTTGCCCAGAAAGCCAAATTTTCAAGATACAGAAGACTTCCAGAGACAGAGCCTGTGGTTTCAGAAAAGGAGCAATGAGAACTCCGAGTGTGCTGACCAACGTAAAATGCTCAGCTCAGGGAAAGCAAGTTCAGGGCTGAGCTCCCCAGACAGAGGAAAACACAGCTGGGGACTTTCTGTGGGCAGGGCACCAGGGTGCCAGCTGGTGGGCTGTCTCTAGAGGGGCGGGGGTCTGAGGCAAGTGAACCAGGCAGTCTGACCAGACTTGAAAGGCAACTACACCTGCAACCGCTTCTGCAGCCCTGGGGCTGTCAGCAAAACAGAACTTCCAGGTGGAACCTTCCACGAAAACAGGAAGAGCCAAGCCTGGGGCTGGGGTGGGTCAGTGAGAAGCTGATGGTGAACTGGGGAAGCAGATACCCATGAGGAACCAGTCTGGAGACTTACAAAGAGGACCTGGATCTGAGGAAGGGACTCTCTGAGACCTCGAGATGGACTTCGGATACACCAGCATGAAGGGGTCATGAGCAGAGAATCTGGGGGACTGACGCCATTTAATGAGCAAGAGAAACACATGACCACGTGGTGTTTCCTTCCTACGAGAGCAAAACCAGCCACACACGTTGACCCTCTGACTGCAGAGCGGGAAATGGGAGGGACGAAGGGAAAGCGATGAAACTGACAGGGGCGTATGGTGCAAGGACAAGGGCACAGGAAGCAGGGTTCCAGTCCCCAACTCTGACACAAACTAACTGTGTCACCGTGAGTAAGCCCCTGGACTTCTATGGACCTCAGTCTTTTCATCTGGAAACCAAAAGGACTAAACTAAAGAATCCTTGCCACTCCTTCAAATCCAACACAACATTTTTCTAAATAAAAATTTCCATCTAGAAAACAGATGCTCAAATGATGCTTGTACCATCTGCTGACATCTAACAGGGTTTGCTGAATTAAATTGGCTAAAAAAAAAAAAGTTCACCAAGGTAAGCTGTGTGTCTTCAGAAGCTAATCTCACAGCTGCCCAGAGGTGTGGACCAAGCTGTACAGCTGTTAATAACCACGTGAATTCATTTAGAAATCTTCCTCACTATCACATCCATAGGTACAGCATCCCTGCAAGGTGAAGCAGGGTCCATCACTTTATGAATGAATCAATCCTACCACGTGGATGGAGGTGGTGGACTCATGGACCCACTACAGATTCCAAAATCCACAGATGCACAAGTCCCATAGTCAGCCCTCCACTTCCACGGATTCAACCAACCACGGATCATAAACTTAGTGCCTGATCCACGGTTGGTTAAATCTGTGGATGCAAAACCCGCAGATACAGAGGGTCCATGGTAGTTGGACACCATCCTCCATGACGTTATGTCCCTGGTTATAGTCTCTCCAGGCATGCATTCCGGATAATCAGCAATAATGGGGATACTGGGTGCATCTCTAACCCTTAGGAGCTCTGACATCAAAGACAGAATTCTGAGCAATTCAGTGCAGCTAGGGTCATAAATCCCACAACAGCTTTCAGAAACCCTCCACTTCCAGCCCTTCCCCCACTAGTACACCCAGGTGAGCAAAGGTGCAACCCCCCGCCCGGAGCAGGATTCCTGGACATCACATCCCCTTACCACAGTGACTCTCATCGCTGTTGTCGCCACAGTCATCCTCGAGGTCACACTTGTAGGAGAGCGGGATGCAGGTCCCAGACTCCTGGCAGCGGAACTGGGTATCCAGATCGCAGACAGTAGTAGCTGAGGTGGGAAAGCAATGACACACTCATTAGGTACAGTGAACTCCCCCAAGATGCAAACGCCCACTGCAAAACCAATTTAAAAAGAGAAGGATAAACAACAAGGATTTACTGCACAGCACAGTGAACTGTACTTAACATCTCGTGGTAACCCACAATGGGAAAGAATCTGGAAAGTGTATCTATTTACAACTGAATCCCTTTGCTGTACACCTGAAGCCAACACAATATTGTAAATCAACTGTACTTCAATTAAAAGAGAGAGGGGTGGGGAGGGTACAGCTCAGTGGTAGAGTGCGTGCCTAGTATGCGCAAGGTCCTGGGATCAATCCCCAGTACCTCCATTTAAATAAATAAGTAAATAAACCTAATTACCTCCCCCAAAAAGAGAGAGAGAGGGAAGCAGATTTTAGTTGCAATTTTAATTTCAACAACAGAAGTGAAACCTAGACTTACAGAAAAAAATAAACTGCATTAGAGCCTGAAATTTACAGCCAAGGGAGATAAGGGCATATCTCTCCAGGGACACGTTTCAGACCGGAACGGAGCCGGGAAAAGTGAGAAACTGTCGTCTAGCTGGGAGACAGAGTGACGGGCCAGATTACCTCCTCAGACCCCCTCGGACGTGACGG